TATAAGCTGCTCCAGCATCTTTATAAACTGCTCCAGCATCTTATAAACTGCTCCAGCATCTTATAAACTGCTCCAGCATCTTTATAAACTGCTCCAGCATCTTTATAAACTGCTCCAGCATCTTTATAAACTGCTCCAGCATCTTTATAAACTGCTCCAGCATCTTTATAAACTGCTCCAGCATCTTATAAGCTGCTCCAGTGCTGAAGCAGTAGGCTGCAGACGAGCCTCTCGAGCCATAAAGTCAGCCTTTAAATCGTGCTCAACATTTCCACCTTTTCTGCTCTTCCACGCTGTAAATAACGTCATCAACCAATCAGGTTACACAACAGGTTGAGAAAAGTTTCTTCCTCCTTTTCAACCAGACCAGAGCGACTCCTTCCCTTCTTCCCTTTCACAATAAAAGCCCCAGTGTCGTGTCGTTAACCTCAGAGCTTTGTGAAGTGTGTGTTCACTGAGTGACTCTTTCTTCTTCTTCTTCTCTCTGTGAAAGCTGCCAGGACATGTTGCCAGGTATCGTTCTCACAGTGTTACCGTGCTGATGTCCCCCCCGTCCTCCACTGTGTCTCTCAGCTGTCCTCTTGTGTCTCCTCAGTGGTGGTGACTCTAGAGCCGCTGGTGGGAGCGGAGACGTACGTCAATGGGAAGCAGATCGAGGACGCCGTCGTCCTCAAACAAGGTGAGGAGTGAAATGCACCCTGGGAGTCGTAGTCGTCTGCCGGGGCTTCTTTGTAGCTTTGACTTTTTATCAAGGAAGCCGATGTTTTATCTTTATTTTATTTATTTTATTTTATTTACTTTATTTATTTTTATTTTATTTTATTTATCTATTATATTTATCATTGTATTTATTATATCTATTTATGTGTTATTATTTATGTAAAAGGTGTGTTCTTATTAAACAGAAGGCGTGGTCTGTCTCCGTTGCTAGGTCACCGCATCGTGATGGGGAAGAACCACGTGTTCCGGTTCAACCACCCGGAGCAGGCTCGGCTGGAGAGGGAGCGCAGCGCCACCGCCGACCAGCAGGGGGAGCCGGAGGACTGGAACTACGCCCAGAAGGAGCTGCTGGAGAAACAGGGCATCGACATCAAGCTGGAGATGGAGAAGAGGTAACTACTTTAAAATATGTATATATGTATATATATATATACATATACATATATACATCACAATAAACCCTTTGGCTACGAGCCAGAAGGCTAATATTATGCTTGCGTCAAGCTAACGTTATGCTAGCAAGATTCAAAGTCAATAACATTGCTTACGGTTGACAAACATTAAACATAAAGAATCAAGTATTCACTCAGGGTATAAATAATCCCTTCAGATATCAGCACACATGTTTATGTGTGTGTGTGTGTGTGTGTGTGTGTGTGTGTGTGTGTGTGTGTGTGTGTGTGTGTGTGTGTGTGTGTGTGTCACAGACTGCAGGACATGGAGGTTCAGTACCGTAGAGAGAAGGAGGAGGCTGATCTGCTGCTGGAGCAACACAGACTGGTTAGTCTCTGTTTGATTGATATCCATCAGATCATCTTTAGGCCCTCAGGTAACCAATAACCAATAATGTGTGTGTGTGTGTGTGTGTGTGTGTGTGTGTGTGTG